TTTTATGACATGGTTTCACTTTGTGGTCCAGACTGGCCTCAAAATGGAACAGCTTCAGTTTACTTAGTACTGGGATTATAAGCGTGCATTTTGCCTACTTTATATTTTTTTTAAACAAATCAAAGTGCTTTCTTTTAGTACATGACAATTATCAATAAATAAGTACCACCTTTAATAAATTACTACATCACAAAGAGTGATCTAGGGTCTCCTGGGCATACCCAGGAGCCTCTCCTGGTTTCATAAGTATAATGACATGAAAACATTTGCCTTTTAAACTCTAATTGGGTCATGGATGCACACTATGTATAACTGAGTATGTAACTCCACTTGCTGTTTGTTTTCTTCAAGACAGGGTTTCACTTGTGGGCTGAACTGGCCTGAAACTTACTATGTAGAGCAGAGTGGCTTTGAACTCAACCCTCCCACCTCAGCTCCAGAATGCTGGAATTAGAGATGTGGGCCACTCTACCCAGCTACTTGTTTAATGCACTACTGCATTTTGGTTTTAGGATTTATTATGTCATTCAAGTCCTGTTACCGTTAATCTTCCTGCTCAGCCTCCTGGTTACTGGGATTACAGTGTGAACCACCATACTCACCTTTAAAATAAAATGAGATAGGATCTTGCTTTGTAGGCTAGGCAGGCCTCATGGCCCTTGTGATTCTGCCTTCAGGGTCCTGGAGTTCTTGTGCCATGACTCAGTGGTTAAGAGCATTAGCTGCTCTTCCAGAGGAACTGGGTGTGGTTCCCAGCATCCATGGTGGCTCAACTCTAACCAAAGTTCCAGGGAATCTGATACCCTCTTATGAACTCCACAGGCACCAGGCATACACGAGGTACACAGACATCCATGCAAACAGAACACATACAATAAAGCTAATTTTTCAAAGTTTTACAAGAATGTAGATCAATTTTATTCTCACAAATATTTTAGAGAATATAAATTTTCAACAGGTTATGTATGTTTCTGGAAGTAATGACACACATCTTTAATACTGTACCTGGGAGGCAGAGGCAGATAGATCTTTGTGAGTTTGAAGCTTACCTGGTCTACATAGGAAGTTCTAGGCTAGGTTAGGCAGTCTCACTAGTAAGACTCTATCTCAAAACAATATTTTTTTTTACTGTTTAATAATATGAATCAATATTGATTGAAATATGTTTCTTCTAGTTTATTGAAGTATGACTGGTATATTGAAAATAATGTATACAGTTTGGTGAATTGGAACTTGAGTACATGTGTGTGTTATCACCACCACAAGATAATAAAAACCCATTGTCTCCAAATGTTTCCTTGTTTCTCTTTGTGGGTTTAGCTTTTTTGGTGTTAAGAACACTGAGTATGACAAAAACAAACATTTTTCTTGCTGGCATTGAGCCAGCATTCTACCATTGTGCTACACACCTGACCCATGTCTTCAGCAAGTCCAAGGTGCAAGATATTTTATAGTTGTGTACAGGTGATGTGTTTCCCAGCAGCTCTCTGGAACATACTTAGACTATTAGAAGTCTTTGATGTGTGTCTTAGCTACAGTATATTCAGTAACTTCTATGTAAAAACAATAAATACACATCGCAGATTCCTGAGTAATGCCTTAGTGAAAAATGTTTTAAAATATAGGAGGCTAGAGGTATTGTAACGGGCCCTAGACCTTAGCACAACCGACTTCATAATGGAAGTGCCATTTAGGCTGGAAAACTTAGCATGTAGACAGCATCACCTGCCAAAACTGCAACAAAGCCTACTCCATCAAAGTCCGTAGTTCCAGGAAAGTTTTTAAATGTACTAATCTGCCGGGCGGTGGTGGCGCACGCCTTTAATCCCAGCACTTGGGAGGCAGAGGCAGGCGGATTTCTGAGTTCGAGAGTTCGAGGCTAGCCTGGTCTACAGAGTGAGTTCCAGGACAGCCAGAGCTATACAGAGAAACCCTGTCTCGAAAAACAAAAAAAAAAAAAAAAAAAAAAAACAAATAAATGTACTAATCTTGCTTTTTAGCTTCACTTCTGGCTAACTGTTCTTGTTAGCTGAAGTATGTCAACCCAGAACATGAATTTTGTACTTAAAATCTCATCCTTAAAAAGGCTCTGTGCTACACCGGGATCCTGAACACCCAGTGAGTGTAGTCGCTGACCAGCAAATGAAGATTTCTACTGGTTTAAATCCATGTCTGAGAAGTCTTCTATGTCGAATACCCACAAACAGTACAGCTCAGTGATACAGCTTTTGTAAAGCATCACACTAGTGCATTCACACACAGTGGTGCCCATGTAATAGCATCAAGTAATGCAAAATAAAATGAAACACTATAGTTTATATGTAAGAGGTTCTGGGTGAGTATAGGAGGAGCTAAGGTGGGAGGAGTTAGGAGAGGAAGAGGAGGAGCTAGGGAGAGCAGAGATGTAGGAGGATGGAGAGCCACGCAGGTATGGAGAGCAGTCATGGGTAACAACTTTTATTTAGGTTAGCTAATTGGGAAAGAACTCTCTTTGAATGGGCATATTGTTATTGAGCATTACCAAGCATATAAAGCCTTTGATTAATCTTTAAGCATTAGAGTCTCATTTTCTTACTGGGCCCGTATGGATGGCAGGATGGTCTGGGCAATGTCCAGCCTTGCAGAGACAGCGTGGAAGATTGGCAGAGCCATCTCCCACACTGGCATCTCATGGATGGCAGGGCAGGTGTTTCTAGCTGGCTGTTTCTAGCTGCAGCATGCACATGGCCTCTGGCCACAGAACATGGTGGCTGAGCTAGGCAGAGCCGCCGCAGCTTAGATAGTTGGCTTGACCGGTGGCCTATTTTAATTAACTACTGCAACAGGGGAGCATGTTCCGAAGTATCATGAGGGCAGGATTAAGGAACGATGACTTTTCATTTTTTATTTTGTTTTTCTTGAAATTCACAGAGATCCACCTGCCCTACCTCCCCGAATGCCAGGATTAAAGGCATGTACCACCACACTTAAGAGCCACGAGTTGCTTTCTCAGAGGACCTGGGTTCAGTTCCCAGCACCTAAATGGCAGCTTGCAATCATTTGCAACTCCACTTCTAGGGGATCTGACACTCTCTTCTGGTCTCCAAGAGCATCCAGCACACATGCGGTACATAGACACACATCCAGGCAAAACAAACACAACAAATAATAATTTATTTTTAAAAATAAAAGGGGCTGGAGAGATGGCTCAGTGGTGAGTGGACCAACATGTCCAGAGTTCAATTCCCAGCAACCGTTGGTGGCTCACAACCATCTGTAATGGGATCCAATGCCCTCTTCTGGTGTGACTGAAGACAGTTACAGTGTACTCGTATTTAAAAAGAAAGAAAGAGCTGGGCACCGCCTTTAATCCCAACACTTGGGAGGCAGAGGCAGGCAGATTTCTGAGTTCGAGGCCAGCCTGGTCTACAGAGTGAGTTCCAGGACAGTCAGGGCTACACAGAGAAACCCTGTCTCAAAAAAAAAAAAAAAAAGAAAGAAAGAAAGAAAGAGAAAAAGAAAGAAAGGTAAAAGGAATGGTTGCTGAATAAAACAGAAAATTTCTTAACGTTTGACTAGACTCATCAGCATTTGACATACGTTCTTTAGAAGAGCATAGGAACATTGTTCGTGAACATACCCTTCTCAGCGTGAACTGGGATTTAGTCTAAGGGTTACTAGTGGTAGATCCCAGGTTTGTTGGGGACAGCAAATGTGGTGGATAGAATATGCTTGACCCAGGAAGTGGCACTATTAGGAGGTGTGGCCTTGTTGGGGTAGGTGTGGCCTTGTTGGAGGAAGTGTGTCACTGTGGGCACGGGCTTTAAGACCCTCATCCTAGCTGCCTGGAAGCCAGTCTTCTCCTATAGCCTTCAGATGAAGATGTAGAACTCTCAGCTCCTCCTGCACCATGCCTGCCTGGATGCTACCATTCACCTCCCTTGCTACTGTACAGAACCTCTGAACCTGTAAGCCTGTCCCAATTAAGTGTTGTCCTTATAAGAGTTGCCTTGGTCATGGTGTCTGTTCACAGCAGTAAAACCCTAAGACAGGGAAGGATAAGGTAGAGAAGTGAGGAAGGCTGTGGACTCCTCATCTCCTGCTTTCCTCTCTATAGGTATAGACACCGACGTCTGAGTCTGACAGTGGCCATAACAGCTGTGCTGTGCAGCTGAGAAAGGAATCAGACCTGTTCTCTAACTCAATTGCAGCACCTCTGTCGATTTAGAAACAAACCTATGAGTCTAATTCTATTTCTTATATTTCTGAGTCTCTTCCCTCCCTCGTTTGCTTGCTTGTCTGTTTTTTATTTATTTATGAACTATGTTCTTTGCTTTGTAAGACTGGCACAAAACTCATTCGGAAGCCCAGGTTGTCTAATTCCCCGGGCTCCCAAACTCTGGGATTACTCGTGTGTACTTCCTTAGCATTTGTTTGTTTTAAGATG